ACACTCCCTCTTTGAACTGTTGCCATCTGGTCGACGCTACAGGGCTCTGAGCACCAGAACAGCCAGACACAGGAACAGTTTCTTCCCTCAGGCAATCCATCTCATGAACACTTAACAATAACTGTGGAACACACACTATTTATACACTCATACACTTATTTATCTAACACTCATACTCAGTCTACACCTCAAATTTGCACATAATATACAGTACCTGTACATACAAAACTGTCTATTGTAATATACCTGCACATACAATTGTCGATTTATATATTTTTATTCTTTATTTACTTGTTCTATTTTTTATTTTTTATTATCTGTGTTTTTTGTTCTGTCACTGTCATTCTGTTACACTGTGGAAGCTTCTGTCACGAAAACAAATTCCTCGTATGTGTAAACATACCTGGCAATAAAGCTCATTCTGATTCTGATTCTGATTCTGAATGTATTTCAGGTTGAGTGGTAAGGAACATAGCGTCTTTACAGGTGTGGCTATTGTGCTCTGCCATGACAAGAGTGGTATGTGAAAGCATTCTTCTTTGCAGGTACAGCTACAGACTACAAAGTGATTGATTTTAGTTAAATTAAAGTTATCTGAGGAGATGCTCTGGGAATACATCAACAGTGGAGAGCCCATGTGAGTGTGTGTGTATTGATTTTCATATGCTAAATGCATTGCAGGTGGTGATCACATATTCTGAGCACGTTAAGTCAATTTAAACTTGTTGAACCTGTGGATTTTGGACCTTGGTGGAGCTGGTCATTTTTGTGTTTGCTTTGACATGTTGAAAATGACATGAGGAAAATTCAACAACGTATATTTTTGAGTAAGGAAGTCCACTTTGAGTAAATAAATCAATTATCTGTACTCTAGCATTTCACCTGCCATGCAGAATCTGGTCAATGATGAGACTGACAGATTTATCTGTGCTTGACAGGGCTGGTGGTTACGGGATCCAGGCTTTGGGTGGCATGTTGGCGGAGTATGTATCAGGAGATTTTCTTAACATGGTAGGCTTCCCTCTTAATCACTTCTGCAAGCAGCTGGGATGGATTTTTAATAGCCCACCTGAAAGACAGCCCAGAGACTGCATGGATACATTCTCCACTGCAATGATATGGTGTGGCCTCTCTTCAGTCATCTAGAGAATGCTGTCAGGGAGGGCACCAGCCAACATGAGCGAGCTTTTGGGAAGAAGAATGAGGACGTGTTTCAGGTAAACACGAGTTAAACGTGTCTGCTTATATCACCTGTGGTTCATGCATTTTCAAAAGCTTTTGACATTCTAGTACTAAGCAGAACTGTTATGTTGTTTTCTAGGATGCCTACTACAGTAAAGATGAAGTTAAGATACGATTTATGGATGCAATGCATAGCATTGCAAGGTTGACTGGAAAAGATGTGGCAACAGCATTTGATCTTTCTCCTTATAAAACAGCCTGTGACATTGGAGGTATATGAATTTTCCCTCAAAAATAGAGACAGATGGTAAAATAAAGGCTATCAATTTGTTCATTTTTAGGTAATCAAATAAATTTTTTTTTTTTAATCGACTGAAATGTAAAATTAATGTGTTAAATGGACAGGCCTAACATATCAGGTCAAAGTCAAGTAAATTTGAAAATCACAAAAATAAGAAAATGTAAAAAAAGAAATGAAATTAAATGTATTTTTTATTCAAATGTGGATTAAAGAAAAAAATATAAATAAAAAAACATTCTCTAAGCTTTTTTCTAATGTTCAGGATTATTCAACATTCCCCACTCATGAAAAAACTGTGACGTAAAAAAAAAAAAATAGATCAAAACTTTGCACTGCTGACTTCCCATTGAGACGTGCGCGAGTGACCGCGAGAGCTTAAAGATTGTGCAGAAACCACCGTCCCGCTGCTGTCTTGCATAATTTGAGATTTCACTAGAGCATGGTGCATGCATATTTTAATCTGAAAAAGGATTTGCAAGCTTGTTATGCAAATTATATATGCTTCTAATTACCAGTTTTCTCAGGTGCTTTTCATGCCAAGGACATCTGTATTTATCCTGTTTATTCTCTTTACCCTCTTTGACCTAAATTTAGAGCTAGAGTTTATTTTCCACACTGACAAAATGGGTAACAACCTTAAAGGTTCTTAAGGGTGAAGGGTTTCATTTCTGTGACACATATAGTCCCGCCCCATGCGTCTTATATTACTGAGCATCATCAAACTGATTTACATGTAGTACAACTATATTTTGGATATATTTTAAATTGGTACACTTAGGCCTGATTTTGACAGGTAATAAAAATATACCACCATTCAAAATTTTGGGGTCAGTCAAATTATTTAAAAAAATAAAATACTTAATACAACTTTTAAGAACTTAAGAAGCACAAAAATATTAAGCAAGACTGAAGTAATGACTGCTGAAATTCAGCTCTGCCATTACAGGAATAAATTAAATTTTAAAATGTATTCAAATAAAAAAACAGTTATTTTAAATTGTAATAATATTTCACAACAGTATTACTGTTTTTACTGTATTTTTTTTAATCAAATACAGTTAATGTAGCTTTTTAGAGCATAAGAGACTTCTTTCGAAAAACATCAAAAAGTCTTACCGACCCCAAATTTTTGAAGCGTAGTCTAGATAAAATATATATATATATATATATATTTGTATGGTATGAGGCATGTTATAAAAGCATTCTCTTCTCACACAGGCTGCACTGGTGCCATGGCATACGAGTTTACAAAAGCCCATCCTGGACTGTCAGTTATTGTATTTGACTTGCCACAAGTTATTGAGATGAGACGCCACTTTCAGCCTAAAGAAAATGATGACAGAGTGTCATTTGTTGGGGGGTAGGTGAAGACTTTATATGAACATTTTTATGATAAAAATGTTTGCAGTGTATTTGTTTCATATAATACTTTGTGAGTAATGTGCAAATTTCTGACTGTATTTTTTCTCACTTAATTTCTTTTTCTTTCTTTCTTTCTTTCTTTCTTTCTTTCTTTCTTTCTTTCTTTCGCACAATAGGAGATTTCTTTAAAGATGACCAACCTAAAGCGGACCTGTATATTCTTGCACGAATCCTCCATGATTGGTCTGATGAGAAACTTCATGTATTATTGAGTAAACTGTCTAAAATGTCCACTCCAGGTAAGTGCTTTAAAAATTGAATTCTTAATATGTCAGCCTGATTCTGAAGTATAAAACTTTTGATGCCAAGGAGGACCCTGTAATATGATGAGCCCTTTGCAAATGGCCCCTTAGTGCCCCCTTGTGGCCCCTCTTCATTCCAGTTTGTAAACCCCTGGCCTAATTGATTCCTACAATAACTCTACCAGATTATACTTAACATTACTGGATTCTTGAAAGTATTTTGAATTGTGGACATCCCAAGGTCATAAAAAGTATTTTATTATTTTTGTTTTTTTTTAAATCGAGGTCAAGTGTTTAAATGTTTGGGTTATGAATGTATTGCTACCAAACAGGTTGTGGGCTTCTGGTGTCTGAGATCTTCCTGGATGAGGAGAGGAAAAGGCCTAGCCGAGCCCTGTTGCAGGCCCTCAGTATGACAGAAGGAAAGCAGAGGAGCACCACCGAATACAGGGACTTACTGGAGAAGCATGGCTTCACTCCCAAACACATCAAACACACGGACAACCTGCTGGATGCCATGCTATTTGTGAAAGAAGACCCAAATGACAAAAGAACATTACTAGGCTGTTCTTCAGCATCCATCGAGACCGTAGAACTTGAGTGATATAATGACTACAGCATTTTGGAAACACTACAGTTGACTTATTCTAGTTCATTAACTGTAAAAAATGTTTTAGCTGTATTCAAATATTATGAACATTTCTTACCTAAAAGCTCAAAATAAGTATTTGTGCATGATTATTTTTAATTACAGAGACAGAGAATGTTGTATATTTGTATATTGAATTATGGTTTTGAAACAAATGACAGTGTTCTTTTAGCTAGTTTTTTTATAGTGAGGAATGGGTTTGTAGTCATACAGGGAATGGATTCAAGGGCTATATATCATAACTATTAGGTTTTAAGTCAAAAGTCTAATCAGAACGTATGATTCTTCAGCACTGGGTTCGTATGTTGGTTTATAGTTCAAATCTTTTAGATTGGAATAATATGATACATCATGTAATCAATTAGAATATTAACTAACATTATATACAATTCATTAGAAAGTTATTAATTAGTTAAGTTACAACATGTCATGAAAATGTAAATTCTGTAGCTGTTGTACACGGCGCCTTTACGTGACCCTAGTGATTCGGGAGCAAATATCGCGAGAAACCTCGAGAGTTAGCGCAGTGTGTCCTCCGCAGCATCCCCATCACCTTCCGCTCTACCTCCTGCTTCTGCCAGCACGTTCAGCATATCGTGTTTGTAATACACCGAGTTTAAGGATCATCGCCATGGCTGATGCTACACTTTCTTTTGCTAAAGACTTTTTGGCCGGTGGTGTCGCAGCGGCTATTTCCAAAACCGCAGTCGCACCGATAGAGAGAGTCAAACTGCTGCTGCAGGTGAGAATCATCATCTTGACTTCTTTTAACGCACTTTGCCATGATGCATGCTAATTTATTAACCCCTCTCTTTAGTATTTAAGAATAAAATGAATTATTTTGTGGTTATAAAGATGCGAACTGACTTTGTCCTTCAGAGGCCATATTTGAGTTGTCGTGTCTGCAACATCCGCATCCTTGGAGCATCTCAACATTCAAATTGTCATTTTAATACCGAGTTTCTATTCTGTCATTCTCTCATGTGGATCTTTATTTCTAGATTTCAGTAACCCAAATGTACAGTACCGTATTTTAAGGCCAAACGGTGAATTTCTAGCAGCTGGTTAGGTGGCACATCTTGCCCCCTGCAGTCTGGTCTCATATTACAGGCCCAGACCTTATGCATTAGGGTTGATTTTGCCGAGAAAGGCATGTTCCTCTAAAATCAGAAGTAAATGATGTCAGAACTAAATGCTACCATTCAAATGTTTGGAATCTTCAAGATTTTTTAAATGTTTTAAAATAAGTCTCTTAAGCTCACCAATGCTGCACTTATTTGATCACAAATGTGGTAAAAACAGTAATATTGTGAAATATTATTACAATTCAAAATAACTGTTTTCTATTTTAATAGATTTCAAAATGTAATTTATTCCTGTGATAGCAAGGCTGAATTTTCAACAGTCATTACTCTAGTCTCTTCAGTGTCACATGATCCTTCAGAAATCATTTTAATATGCTGATTTGCTGCTCAAGAAACTTTTCATGTTATTATCAATGTTGAAAACAGTTTTTGCTTAATATTTTTGTGGAAACTGTGATACACTAGGCTACCGTTCAAAAGTTTGGGGTCAGTAAGATTATATTTTATTTATTTTTTTAAAGAAAAGGACAGATTGAATTGATCAAAAGTGATATTAAAGACCTGTATAATGTTTATTTATAATGTTAACGATTAATAATGTTAACAAAACACCTCTGTTTCAAATAAATGCTTTTCTATAGAACTTTCTATTTGTTAAAGAATATTGGGAAAATGTATTATGGTTTCCATAAAAATATTAAGCAGTACAGTTGTTTTCAACATTGATAATTATAATAAATATTTCTTGATCAGCAAATCAGCATAATAGAATGATATCTGAAGGATCATGTGACACTGAAAACTGAAGTATAATGGCTGCTGAAAATTCAGCTTTACCATCACAGAAATAATTAAAATAGAAAGGGTTTTATACAAACTGCTACAAAAGAATGTTACTTTAAATTGTAATAATATTTCATAGTTTTGAGTATTTAAAACATTGCTCAAGAAAAAAATCAATCCAGGTATCATGTATCTCACAGTATTTTATTTTTCACTTTATAGGTACAGCATGCCAGCAAGCAGATCAGTGCAGATAAACAGTACAAAGGTATTATCGACTGTATTGTGAGGATTCCTAGGGAGCAAGGCTTTGCTTCCTTTTGGCGCGGAAACCTAGCCAACGTCATTCGCTATTTCCCCACACAAGCCCTCAACTTTGCCTTCAAGGACAAGTACAAACAGATATTCTTGGGTGGCATTGATAAGCACACGCAGTTCTGGCGATACTTCGCCGGCAACTTGGCCTCTGGTGGAGCTGCAGGAGCCACTTCCCTCTGCTTTGTCTACCCCCTGGATTTTGCTCGTACCCGCTTGGCTGCAGATGTTGGCAAAGCTGGCAGCAGCAGCAGAGAGTTCACTGGGCTGGCTGACTGCCTGGCCAAAATCTTTAGGTCAGATGGGTTGCGGGGTCTGTACCAGGGCTTCAACGTCTCTGTCCAGGGCATCATTATTTACAGGGCCTCCTACTTCGGAGTCTATGACACTGCTAAAGGTAATAGGTTTGTACCTCAGATGTTGTGGGACATTCAGAATTGTTTTGAGAATGCTTTTTATATTCCAGTGTATTTCCTGAATTGGAAATAATTTGAATAGTGGTAGAAAACAAAATGCACAATTTAATCTGAATGTTTTGAAGTAGAATTTCAGAAAAAAATCTGAATAAAATAATAGTAGTTTTTTAGTAGAACTTTGAATCTCGGCTCAACAAAGCCACATTTCAAACTGTTGTTTTAGTATTGTTTATATACTATAATAGTATTTATTATTTTTTTGAATTAGTCTTTATTTTTTGAATAAATTTAAATTAAAAAAAATTCTGAATTAAAAAAAAATTGGTTTTACTAGAAAAACAAATGCAAACTGAATTCTGGCTTGACAAAGCCTTGTTTGAAACGGTTAAATTAGTACTATGTATATACTATTAAATTATTTATTAATATCTTTATGAATTGAAATTAAAAACAATTCTCAATAAAAATAACACTAGTTTTACTAGAAAATACAAACATTGATTCTTGGCTTGACAAACTTTGTTTGAAACTGTTATTTTACTATTGTTTTTGTATTAATATTTTGAATGAGATTTTATTATTTCCTTTTTCATTTAGTTTATTTTATTATGTGCTTTTGTCGTTTTTATTAGCTTTGTTTAACTTAATTTATTTTTATTTCAGTTTTAGTACTTCTTGAACTTTAACTTCAGCCAGTTTCCCACCAGTTTCTGTTTTTTATTTTATTTCAGCTTTATTTCAGTGAAAGAAAACTATTTATAATAGTTTTAGTTTACAATATTAACACTAGTTTAAAAAAAAGTAAAGTTGGTAGATTTATAGGTGTTATGGATAGAGATGCTTGAAATTTCACCTTTAAAAGTTTGTATTTAGTTTATATTTCATGATATTTTTGGGGACCAGGGTGAAAGATCACTTAATTTCCCAGAATGCATTACCTGTTTTTTCTTTGAATTACAATTTAGCATTCAGAATTACAATTCCTCATTTTGTCATTCTAATTTAACTTGTGATATGGCCAATTCAAGTCAAATTCACACAGCCAGTTCTTCAGTTCTGAATTCTATGTGAAACATGCGTGCATTATTTTGTGTGGTGGTATGCAGGCATGCTTCCCGACCCTAAGAACACCCACATTATGGTCAGCTGGATGATTGCACAAACTGTGACGGCAGTGGCTGGCGTGGTGTCCTATCCATTTGACACTGTGCGGCGTCGCATGATGATGCAGTCTGGGCGCAAAGGAGGTATACAACACACGTTCAAACACATGCACTGTTCTTCATCAAGTATGCATTTATTTAAATTCAGGCCTTTGTCTTTTGTTTTCCCAGCGGATATTATGTATACTGGAACCCTTGACTGCTGGAGAAAGATTGCTCGTGATGAGGGTGCAAAAGCGTTCTTCAAAGGGGCTCTCTCTAATGTATTCAGAGGAATGGGGGGCGCTTTTGTGCTCGTGCTTTATGATGAATTCAAGAAGTTTGTTTAAACAATGTACTAAATGTACTAAAAGATGTACTAACTATGTACTAACAATGTACTCAAAGATAATAGAATAGCTTTTACCACACAGCTTTGTCAAGCTTTAACCAAACCCTCTCCACTCCGCACAAATGTGGTCTTGGTAAAATTGTGTTAGATGCCAAAAGCAATTAATAATTTTCACTAATTTTGTTTGTGGCTATATTTTATGTGTAGAAAATGCTCTGTCATTTTATGATAAATAACCCTTATTTTATCCCCCCTACAATTATAAAATTGGAAATATAAGGAAAGCTGTTGTATATTTATGCTCAAAATAATTTAAAATATATATGAATTTATTGATGTTGTCTATAATACTGTATTTCTTCATAAATCTGAGCCATCAGTTCCGTGCAATACCACAATACGTCCTCAAGATGGCGTGACACGACGGCGTTTTGTCCTGCATTCGTTCAGTACCATGCTCTTGAAGTCCTTGAGCTCAGTTTTTCAATTCTTCTAGTCAAGATCTGTGGGTATACAATATCACGCTCAAAAAAAAAAAAAAAAAATGTGGAGTTCAAAAA